AGGGACTGGCCGGGCAGCTTCATTTGAAGCTCCTCTGCAATGTCTGTAGGCGGACGCAAAGAGTTTAATGTAAGCTTAATAAATAAAAAGAAAAAGAACAAAATAAAATCCAAAGTTATTGGAACTGACCGTCAGAGAAGCTTGGAGGAGTAGGAAGGTTGAGAGTGAACGGCGGGGGCGGCGCAGACTCATTACTCTCCTCCCCCTTCCGGCCAGGCTGATCGTCGGCCGACTGATTGGCATCAAGCCAATCAGATTCATTGACTCTCTGGACGGGCGGAGTCACTTCTGGCCCGGTCGGTTTTGCCGGGGTCGACTTACCCCTATCGTCCGATTTCTCGGACCCAACATGACCCGGCATGGCGGCCGGATCTATGGACTTGGAGGCCCCGCTATCGCTCAACCGGGGTTGTTCTCCTTTGGACTGATTTGAGACAGTCCGCGACGTTGTCTTGGCCGCAGAAGTGGAAGTGGTCTTGGATGCGACCGTCTTGCTTTGTTTGGACGCCTTGCCGTCTTGATCCGTCTTGGACGCAGGAGACGACTGCTTCCGGTTGGATCTGGGGGTTGGAGTGGCCAGCTGTAGAGACAAAAGTTAGAAAAAGAAAGCAAGATAATATAATAGGCCGAGCCTAGTTAGGAAGAAGATCTCTTCCGTAATGCATACACGAACGTAAGAAAGCTAGATGGGTTTACTTACTCCTTTAGTTTGCTCGTACAGTCTCTGGCGAGCCTTGTACCGAGCCAGGTCAATCTCGGACATGTTGACCTCCCCTTTTTGCTCTTTGTCCAGCATCTTGTACGCCTCATCTGAAAGAGGAAGAAAAAGAGTTAGAAAATTTTTCAAGATCAAATAATATGTGTAAGTGTAAGAATATGTGTTCGTGCGTCCAGCTTGGGGCAGGTTCCTGTATAGGCCATAGGCGGACATGAAGGTGGGATCCCGCAGCCAGCTGGATAAAGGGACCCAGTTACTTGGAACGCGCTCAGTTTTGCCGTTCCTTTTCACCCGCTTGACTTTGAAATATTCAAGCTGGTGCTCCTGGCTGGGGTGGACGGGTGGCTTATCAGGCTTGAGATCCCCACGTCCAAGTTGAATTGGCTCAGCATTGAACCGATTCATCCGCAAGTTAAATTCGACGTCCTTAGTTTTGATGCGGTAGAATCGGTGCTTCCAGTCACGCCACTTGGAGACGCGAACCATCACCACCATGTAATCTCTAGTGGTGCTCAAGATGAGCCAGTCGTCCGTATCCGCGTCCAGCCTAGTCAGTGAGTGCATCTCACAGAAAACTGCAAAGTCTGGCTCGAAGCCCTTGCAGATGCACGTCACCAGGTACCCAAAAATGTTCAATCAGCTTTGAAGAGAGCAATATCATACTCGTCCAAGATTGTGCGCACGAAAGGATGGAGGGGGAAGCGCAGTCCAACGTCTAAGGCCGCCCTGTAGACGTTGAAGGATCTTTGGCGCGGCCTCTCTTCTTCCCAGGCGGCCAAAGCGCGGGACTTCCTTGGAGGCTGGATCTCAAATCCTTCCCCAAGGAGGAGGAATGCCTTGTATTCCTCAAAGTTGTGGTTCAGGTAGCCCAAGGCCGTGCTACCCACCATGCAGGCGTACGGATCCTTGAAGTTGTCAATGTTGGCAACCTCCTCCTCGGCCGCCTCTTCGCCCTCTGCAGCTGCCGCTCCACCCTCGGCCGCATTTTCAGCTTCGCCCTCCTCTCGTTGAGGAGCGCTCCCAAACTCGGAGGACAACACTCTATCAAGGTCAGCTGCCTCCGCCGAGCTGCGGCTCCTAGAACTATGGCCGCCCCGGGGGGGAGATTGTGTCTTCAAGTGGTCGTTTGCCCTTATCTTTGGCACCGGCCGCCTGACTCCCAGTAGGAGGAGCTCTGCGAGGGGGCAGGTCGGACGGTTCGTTAAGAGAAATCCCCGTTCTTGGTCTGTCCGACCTGCCATATCGGAGATAGAGTTCTGAAGGAGTGGGGACGGACGCATCACCGTCCGCTCGAGAAGAGGAAGGAGGCCCCTCACAGAGTAGCAACTCGGCCCCATCCATGACCGAGCTGGCATATTGGGGGAACCTCAACCCCGGAGTTCGCCCGGACGTTCCCCCCATAAAAGGAGCACCTTGAGTTCTTTGACGCTCCTCAAATGAGGAAGTTACTTCCACGGCCGAGCAGTGAGTGCCCGTGGAAGCGGTCGTAGGAGTGGTAGAAGGGGTCTCAGCATTAACATTGTTTGGGTCATAAGGAGGCCTAGGGTTCACCAGACTTCCGTCTGGATTTCTGGCCGCATGACGGTCGTGCGTTTGCATCGTCCGTGCCATGTTCGACTGCAGGGACAGAGAAGAATGGGTGGATGTGAGTTGGTACACACTAGAAATGGACCCACTCCATGAAGGAGACAACTCGTCTCCGTCCACTCTAGACTCCTCAGTCCCAGGCGAATGGCCAGCCTCATGAGGAGAAACGGACGAAGCCGAGTGTTGAGCCAGCTTTTAAATAAACAAAGAAATAAAAAAAAAACAAGGAAAAGAAAAACAGGCGGCCTACCTCTGTACGTGTCGAAAACTTGTAAACCTTGAAGATTGATCGGAAAACTCAACCTATGTCTCCGGAAAACTCAAACGCGCGGCGGAGCTCTTGAAGATTCAAAGTAAAAAACAGTTTCTCTCTCTAGAAGATCTGACTTCTCTCTAGAAAATGTAAAGTTCCAAAGTGTCAAAATGAAGTCAAACCCCTTGTATATATAGGAAAAATTTATGGGGGTAAGATAGTAAATTCAACTTTCCCGCCTAACTCAGCTGAACGGTTACAATTTGAAAAAATGACCTAGAATTTGGAAGGGCAACGAGCAACTCCATTAAGTTAAACGGAAAGGACGACCTAATAAACGGCGCGTCCAAGGGAAAGTTGGCAGAACTAAAGCTCTCTCCGAAATGGCAGGACGATCGCAAAAATCGACGGCCTAGTCTCGTCCCCACCGCTTGAATAGACAGGCGTTCGCCCTACAATTGTCAGGCGGACAGAAAGTTGACAAAACCCTAATACATCTATACGCGCTAAGGCTATTAAAGGTCAGAGGAGCCGGCCTGTAGGTGTACGAGCCATCCCCTCTGAGGAGCAAATGTTGAGGGTAAAAATACCTCGTATACGTGGACCAATCCCATATTGACACGTGGCCCAGTTATAGGGTGACACGTGTCACCACGGGAAGATGCCACACAATCTAGAGTTCTTAAGGTCTCAGGCCAATCCGATAGTGACACGTGGCCCAATTATAGGGTGACACGTGTCACCACGGGAAGATGCCATGTGTTTAGGCAATATAATCCTTCTAAAAATCAGCACGCCAAAAATCCCTAACAACGTCAGGGCCCAAATCCCGAGAGATGACACTGAAAGCCGCAAAACGGCGCCCCAGAGTGGCACGTGGCATTCGCTGATTGCGCAGCCAATCACGTCACGCAAATCTAGGGTATAAACCCTAGAGAGGGGCACGAGCCCCACCCTTATAAATACCCCAATCATTTATGATGGGAGGGAATTCAGACAATTGAAAACACAGAGCATAAAATAGCTCCAACTTCTCTCTACTTTCTCTCTCTAGCCTTTTTCCGTTCTGATCACTGACTTGATCGTCGGAGGCGAATATTCCGTTGGCCGGAATATTCGTTGTTTTGCAGGTGGGGCCGACTCATTGCCAGCAGAGCGTGACCAGTATCCCAGGAAATCCAAAAAAGACCCGAAATAATAAGAACTTGAATAAAAAAGTAAATAATTAATTATGATCGGGTTAAATTCGGATCGGGTAAAAATCAAATCGGGTTAAAATCGGATTGGGTCAAAACATATCGGATTAGATCGGTTATTTTTCGGGTCAATTTCGGATCGGATTGTGCCCGGGTCGTGTCAAATCGGTTCGGTTTGAGTTCAGGTCGGGTCAAATCGGATTCGGATTGAGTTCAGGTCGGATCAAATCGATGCCGGGTTAAGTTTAGATCAGGTCAAGTTCGGATTCGGGTTGAGTTCAGTTCGGTTACAGATCGGGTTTGGGTCTTGAATTTCTCGAATCAAATCGGATCAGTTACTGTCCGAAACGAATAGCTAGAGCAAGATCAATCCATAACCCTCATTCATGTAAAATTTGTCAAACTATGCAAGGACCGAACATCAGAATATTTTGTCTGAAAAAAAAAAGAAAGAAAAAAAAAATCAGAACAAATGTCATGTTAGACAAATGAGAGTAATTATTAAATAAATAAAAAAGTTCTACTCTTCCACTGTTCTATACCGCATCTTTAACAAGGCACGTAAACTTTGTACAAGTGCCACATCAGATAATACGGGTCAAAAGTCAAAGTATAAACTTATGTTTAATTATTTAAATATTAATTAAAAATAATTATTTTGGGTAAAATAATTTAAATTTGCCCATTTAAATTAGTGTTATATTATTGTTAAGCTTAACATCCAATTACATCAAACCATAACCCTAGGGATGTCTCACTCTATAAATAGAGACTCTCGATTTCATTTGGAAGAAGAGGAGGAAACAAGAGGAACTACACTAGAAAACAGAGAAAATTTCCCAAAAAACTCTAAACCTCTCCACAGAAAAACCTCTCAAACTTAGAAAAAGAACAACACTAGAACATCACATCTACATCAAATAGTCATTAATCGAGATCAAGCCTCGGACCTCAATCAAAAATTCAAGTCCCAACTATTAGCATTAGGGGTTCTTCTAAAAATGGTCCTTGATCTGTTATGACTTATGACTGAATAATCCGTTAAATTGGCCCATTCATTTTTACAAAATTTACTTAATTAACCCCTTCCTTCTCCACCTACCATCTCCAACCACTAGACACCGCCCATCAGTCCATCCACCTAGACCCACACCCACGTGTCTCCTGCACCACTTCCCACAATGTCGCTCACCTATCCTTACCACCACCCACGTTCCCACACAGCTCAACTATGATTCATATGAGCTCACTGCCAATAATCGACCTCCATCCCTGTTACTTGTGAGTTTACTACCATTTGATCAGCTACAGTTGTTTCATCTATCAACACCAACTCCAACTTATGCAATGTGTCAAAGATTTGTTCCCTGAATGGGTGGGATTCATCCTCTGCTCCAAATGTGTGAAGATTATAATCTATTTCAATTGCACTGTAGCCAACTGGTCTTTGAATCTTCTTGTCTCTCAATGTAGTCCTTAACCTCGCAGCATCCTGATGCCGGCCTGCGTCCTCATACATCTTGACCAAAATGAGATAGCGCCCTGAATTTTCAGGGTCTAAATCAAACAGCTTTTCCGCTACTTCCTCAGCAAGTTCAATGTTATTATGTATCCTACATGCACCAAGCAAGGCACCATAGACATCCTTCCCTGCCTCAATAGGCATAGTCTTAATAAATTTCATTGCTTCGTCTAGTAGACCTGCCCGGCTGTACAAATCTATGATACAAGCATAATGCTCAGGAATTTTCTCAACTTCATAGTGTTCCATCTTATTAAACAATTCTAAGCCTTCTGAAATCATCCCTGCATGACTACAGGCTGAGAGTAAACACAAAAATACCAGACCATCTGGCCATAATCCAGTATCTACAAGTTGGGAAAATAACTTCAGTGCTTCTTCAGCATGTCCATGTGTTCCATAAGCCCTAATCATCGCATTCCAAACCACAATGTTCTTATCAGATACTTGATCAAATATCAACTTTGCAGAATCTAAGCGTCCAATATTAGCATAGAATGATATAAGACCACTACCAAAGGCCGCATCAAGTTCCATGCAAGATTTTACAATGTAAGAATGAATCCATAAACCTTCTTTGATAGCTGGTTGTTGAGCACAAGCAGGAAGAATGCCTACCAGTGTAGCTTTATCTAGCGAAATTGTTTCATCATTTAGCATAATACGAAAGAGTTCTAGACCCTCAATGGGAACACCATTAACAACATAAGCAGAAATCATCGAATTCAAAGTAACTATATCTTTTTGTTGCATTTCATCAAACATCTCCCTAGATAAACTAACTTCTTGACACTTCCCATAAAATGCCACTAGAGCATTACCAACAAAGAGATCCGAAGCAAACCCAGATTTAACTATATACCCATGAATAACCTGACCCATTTTAATCTCTTTCGCTCCGCCACAAGCCTTTAACACAAACAGAAGTGTGTATTGATCTACAGTAATACTGGCCACCCGCATTAGAACAAAGGAACTCAATGCATCCTCAAAGTGCCCATGTTTTGAATAACCCTGTAATAACATATTCCATAAGAAAATATCTCTTTCAGGCAATTTAACAAACACCTTCCGTGCATCTTCCATACTCGAAGCTGCAAGCGCAATGTATTTCCCTAAAAGCTTTGAAGCAACAAATGGGTTTTGCTCATAATCTCCAACAATAATCTGGGCATGAATTTGTTTCAAGTTTTTTTCACTCGAACACATTTTAAGCAAGTGAATGTAATCATGAGAATCTCTGATATGCACATTGCAATTCCTCCAATTACTATAACTCCTGAAATTTGATCTAACACTACACAAAATCACCAATTTCCGAAGTGATCCATTCATCTCCCTTGATTATTTTTAATCACTCTCTTCTACAGTTGGGAGGTTTATATCATTGATTAAATTAGGGCTCAAAGATTCATGTGTATCACGTATAATGAACAATTTTTGTTAGGAATTTCGTCGAACACATGGTCTACATTAAGTGTTCAAGTTTGAATTGAATATACCATGAAATTGGGGAAGATGACTGATTATTATCCAGCCAATTGGATCTCGATTTTTAGCGGATTGGCATTTTAGAGGTTGCCGAGTCCTTTCGAGTTTTGTGAATTTTATTTTGTGATGAGAGAGAGAAACAGTAGGGCATTTAATTATACCACGAATACAATTTTGTGAATTTATTGTTGGAGCGTACATTATTATTCTCTCCGTTTTGAAATACTTCTTCACTTTTTATTTTGGGACTTGTTATTCATCGCCCGCAAATCTCTACATAAAGTCCACATTTTATAATTTTTTGACAAATTTGCCCTTTTTATAATTTTAACCGAAGATAAATTTTTCGCACTAAAAAAATGTGGAGCAGCACCGGATCGCCGAGGATCACCGGAGAATCGCCGTCGTCATCGGAAAACGAGGTTCGTAACACATCGTAAGGTCGAAATGGTGGCTGGCGCCTAGCCAAAAGGCCATGCCGTGGTTGTGGCGCCTAGCCAGGACGCCGCCACCGTGGTAACGGCGCCTGGTGGAGAAGCCTCGACCATAGTAGTGGCGCGTGGCCAGGACGCCGGAGCCACGGCCAAGGCGCCTGGCCAGGACGCCGACACCATGGCGGCGGCGTCCTGACCAGGCGCCCCGGCCGTGGCTCCGGCGTCCTGACCAGGCGCTCAGGCCGTGGCTCTGGCGTCCTGGCCAGGCGCCACTAGGGGAATATATTTTTTTTTTATTTTTTATTTTTTTTTTTAATTTAATCCCCTTTTTTTTTTTGTTTTTGTTTGTTTTTGTTAATTTAATCTTAATGTAAATATATTTATACGTTATATGTTATTGTTACAGGATTATGGTGGAGACGGAAATGATTACAGTGGGATTTTTGTACATGATGGCCTGTTCGAAGATGCTCAACAAGCGATTGATTGGGCAAAACAGGTTGCAATTAGATCAGGCTTTTGTTTAGTAGTAGCAACTCATAAATCTCAACGGGATGGTAGAATGGATCGCATTTTGAGATGCGACCGTTATCGCAAAAGAGAAGAACGAGATTTCAGTAAAGCGATTCGGTTTGACTCAAAGCGGAAAGGTTGTGGGTGTCAGTTCCGAGTTAAGGTTCGACAACATCAAAGGCGTGACGGTTGGGAAGTGAAGGGTTACGGCAAATGGGGATATCACAACCATGAGCTGATAGCATACAAAGTGGGGCATCGGCAGTTAAGCGGCCTAAGTCCAGCTGCGAAACTAGTTGTAAAAGAAATGAGTGATGCTCAAGTGAAGCCCGCTAAAATATTAGCGTCTGTGTTAGAGAAATTCCCCGAAGACCAGCCAAACCGAAGACACATCTACAACGTCAGACAGAAATTGAGGTTTGAACGGTCAGAGGGAAGGAACCCTATACAGCAGCTTCTGCACCAGGCACAAGCACGTGGTTACCTTTACTGGTTTGAATCTGACGAAGACACATCGGAGGTAACTCATTTGTTCCTTGTCCATCCTGATTGTGCTGATATGATTTCGTCTTGGCCATCTGTGATTTTGATCGATTCAACGTACAAGACAAACAAGTACAAGTTCCCACTGGTTGAGATGGTTGGGATGGCTCCAACGAACCAGAACTTTCTGATTGGTTATGCAGTCATGAAGGATGAGACGGCTGCGAGTTACCGTTGGGTGTTGGAAAAGTTGAGAAACTACATCGGCCCAAATGTACAGCCATCGGCCATCGTAAGTGATTGTGAGGGAGGTCTTTTTGCCCCTATAGCGGAGCTGTTTCCGGAGTCGAGCCATTTACTGTGCACATGGCACATCAACAACTGCGTGAAAGTCAAAGCCTACAATCTTTTCAACAAGAATTTAGTAACAGCAGAGACATTGGTAAATGGTAAGTGGCGGAAGATCATGCAAGCTACCACAGAGGCAGAGTACGATCGAGCCTTGGAAAACTTCAAGGATGCGTACAAGTGGTGCCCGCCAATCGTAGACTATGTGATGCACCAGTGGGTACCTCAGAGGGAAAAGTTTGTCAAATATTGGACGAACCAAGTTCTTCATTTTGGGAACACTACGACATGCAGAGTCGAGAGCGCTCATAGAGCTTTGAAGGACTGGATTGATTCTTCCACGGCTGCTCTGGATACACTGTTCGAGAGAATAAACAAGGCTATTGATACTCAGAGGAACGGCATCAAGAACTATCTCGAGGACTCCAGACGACGACATGGCATGTTGTATGGCCATTTCATATTTAAGATTCTCCACGGTCGTGTGTCACACCACTGTTTGGGGTTGATTCTGAGCGAGTATACCAGGATGAGGGAGTTGGGCGATGAAGTGGCTATTCGGTGCGGATGTGCTATATCAATGACTCATGGATTACCTTGTGCATGCACCATTCACCGCGTAATTATGCAAGACAGGGCGTCGTTACATGTCGATCAGGTTCATCCATTCTGGCGGACGCTCGTTATCGGAGAGCATGCTGTTCCGCATACGGTTCACCGTGAACAGGAGGAGTTGGAGCAGTTTCAGTTGATGTTTGACCAAGTGTCCTCCAGTCACCCTTCGATCATTCGTAGTGCTACACACATACTTCATGACATGTTCAATACATCGTGTTTGGATACCGAGGAACCGGAAGGGGTCGAGCGACCTAGGGGTCGACAACCACGGCGGAACAAGAGTGCGTTTGAGTACATTCGCGGTCGTGGCCGTGGTCGTGGCCGTGGTCGTGGCCGGTTGGGATGCTTTGTACCATGCTCGCGTGCAACAGTGGAACAATTTAATTGCCATGTAGTTTTTGTTGATGTACACCTACTTTTTACTATGAGGCCTTGTATTGTCAATACTATGTCATTTCTATGTGTTCATTTTTAAAAGATAATGTTTCATTTTAAAAACTAACAACAATAATTTCAAATATTACAAACTAAAAAGATAATATTGAATTTTAAAAACTAAGAACAATAATTTCAAATATTACAAACTAAAAAGATAATGTCTAATTTCAAATATCAGTAATCCCTCTGTGACGCTCACTGCCACTGCTCAAGGGTCCGTTCCAGATCGTCAATAACAGCTCTGCCTGATGCACTCGTCATGCAGTCCCTTTCCTCAAAAAGTCGGTGTCCCAACTGCATAATCTTGCCCATCCACTACACAAAACAAAAAACATGAAACGACGTATTATACATATATATATTAAAATAAGAGAACAACAAATAAAAGATGAGACGTACCGCATAAGAGGCAGTGGCAGGTGGCACATCGTCATCATCTGCGTCGTCGATGTCTTTGATCAACCTCGGGTGCGAGTGCCGGATGTACCATTCCATGTAGTGCTGGTCACACATGGCAGTCACCCCACTTGGCGGCCGCTGCAGCTCCGCCGTCCATAGGCGGGCAACCATCGGAAACTGCTCCCACATGGATATCATGTTTGACGGCCATTGGACGACGTACTCCTTCGACGACGCAGATCGTACCGCCTTACTGGGCCATGCCGGTGGAGGTGGGACAACTTGGACAAATCCAAGCTGGCGAAGACAGCGCTGCGGCATGTACGCCTCTACGATCTCGCGATACTGAATCAGTCCGGTGTAGAGGGTCCTGGGTACCCTATTACTAGGGTTCTGGCCGAAAGGCATCCAGTTCACCTGCACATTATTTAAAATCAGTAACAGTCATAAAATAAAGCATCAGATTGTAAAAGTAGAAATAATTTAATCACTGTACCTCTAAGGGGGACATCCTGTCAAGCGATAACCGTATGGAGCGCAGGCGGTCAACGGACTTCTTCTCGACACGCGGACTCCACGCACAGGCACGTGGCTGGCCATCACCAATGGGAACCGGGTCGCGGTGTGGTCGAAACGCAGGAAAATACTCGTATATCCAGGTCTGTAACAACGTCAGACATCCAGTGATACCTGCTGCATCAGCCCGGCTCGAGAATCCTAACTGGCGATACAGATACGCCAGCGTAGCCGACCCCCAAGAAAACTGGCCTACTCTGTCGGGCTCACACGCGTCAACTATGTCGCGTGGCCTGAGCTTGTTCCCGCTCTTATCCGGAAACAAGGTACACCCCAGAAGAAGAAAAACATATGCAGCCAGCTGTGTGTCCTGCGTCCTACGTGCCGTAGGGTGCAAACATCGCTGCAAGACGGCTGCGATCTTAACGCCGCCGTGATCCCACACACCAAGTGCCGATGTGTACAGCGCAGCCCTATCCACCGCCAACAGCTCCGCTAGTAAATCTGCCTGATCCGCATCAGTGACGACAGATGCTCGGTTTCCCTCCACGGGAATCCCAAGGATGGCCTCGACGTCATGCAACATGATCGTCATCTCACCGAACGGAAGGTGGAACGAGTTCGTATCCGGCTGCCATCGCTCAACGAAAGCCGTGATCAGCGTCCAGTCAATCCTGTCGTGCATGGTGGCAGGAAGGTGACTCACTCTAGTGCCCCTCAATCGCCTGACCATCTCGCTCTCCTCCGGCCAAGCATCAGCCCAGCTACACAAAAACCTACAAGTCTTTTCCCGGGTTTGGCATTTCAAAATGCCTGTATCCAAAGCCCTCTCCTGGTCCTCCCAAATACGGGTAGCGATGTGTCCTAAAAAGCTAGGAATCACACTCCCGTCTATAGGTCCCCCGGCCACCTCACCCCTCACCATCCAAGAATCATTAACGGCCCTCGACCGTTTTCTGCTACCCGCAGACACAGTGGACGCAGATGATGTGCCAGATCTACTAACAAACCTACCATCTCGACCCTTACGCACATCTACCCTATGCGTCTCATACGTATCATCAAGCCTCTGACTGAATAGACCGTAATCATCAT